TCTATTATGTTTGCACAATGAAATCACCTAACAATACATTTCTCAGAATATACCCCCTCATTAAGTGACTCATGACTGTACATAAAATTTTTAGCCAACATACTACTACCATGGCCTAGAATTCTACTGGTGTTATCAAACTAAGATCCAACTCAGTTATCACCTCTTGATTTATTTCTCTCTAAACTCTCCTACCATTTTATTCACATTTTTGGTCTCTTTTACATGTTCTATATTCCTTGCTTGATACTCTGTCCACTAGCATTTCTCCAAGTGCCTGGTAGCTGGTAAGTATCTGGTATGGACTAAATTGTGTCCCACCCCACTCCCAACCCTCAAGGTTGAAACTCTAATCCCCTGGAGATAGGCCTTTAAGGAGGTAATGAAGATGAAATGGAGTTCATAGCCAGGCTTGGTGGAACACATATGGAGTTCCAGCTACTCAGAAGGTTGAAGTAGGAGAACTGCTTGAGCCCAGAAATTCCGGACCAGCTTGGACAACATATCAAGACCCTACCTCTTTAAAAAATAAATAAACTGGAGGTCATAATAGTGGAGGCCCTAATTCAATCAAACTGGCGTCTTTATATGATGAGGAAGAGCCATCAGGGATCCTTCTTCTCCATCTGTGCACAGATATAAATAAGGGTGAGAAAGTGACTATGTGCGGGTCAGGAAGAGAAGCCTCAAGGAAACCAACCATAACACCCTGATCTTGAACTTCTAGCCTTCAGAACTGTGTGTGTGGGGGGGTGTTGCCTAAACCACCCAGTCTGTGAATATTTTGTTTTGGCAGCCCTATCAGACAAATATAGTACACACAAATGTTGAACGAATATTAAAATGGGACTGTGGGCACTCAATTTTAAACATTCCTTAAAAATTTTATTTCACTTTAGAAACAGATATTTTCCAGGGGTTTGCTAATTCTTAATTTTCACAATGGGGGAAAAATAATTACAAAAATTTAAAATCCTTTAAAAACCTCCTAAACTTTAAAATATTTAAATATGAAAAAAAAAAAAAAACAGCTGCAGGGGTGGTAGTGAACTACCCAAGAATGGGCAAGAGGGAACTTCTGGAGGTAACAGCATTTGATGAAGGTGTGCAGCAGGTGTAGGTCAACGTCAAACTCTTTGATCAGAACTCTTTAAGATTTGTGTACCTCACTGTATGCAAAATTTACCCCTCCGAATTAGCAAACAAATATTGAACTCTAGTTAATAAAATGCAAGCTGACATGTTTAGGAGTAAAGTATACTGATATTTGCAACTTACTTTGAAATACACTAAAAAAATAAGGTAGAATGATAGATTGAGGGATGGATAAATGGATATATGGTAAAAGCAAATAAAGCTGATAACTGTACAATACAGATGGTGGATACATGAGCATTCATTCTACAATTCTTTTAACTTCTCTGTAGCATTTGAACATTTTCATAATTTTGAAAAAAAATTCACCTAATCTTTTAAATTTTTTTTTTAGTTAAAGATGTACATAATATCTCTATTTTGTTTATTTATTTTTACATGGTGCTGAGGATCAAACCCAGTTCCTCACATGTGCGAGACAAGTGTTCTGCCACTGAGCCACAACCCCAGCCCCAGCTAATCTTTTTTGATTAATATTTTTTTTAGTTATACATGGACACAATATCTTTGTTTATTTATTTTTATGTGGTGCTGAGGATCGAACCCAGGGTCTCACATGTGAGAGGCGAGCGCTCTACCACTGAGCCACAACCCCAGTCCCCCAAGCTAATCTTTTAAATAAAAAAATACACAAGGCTGAGTATGACAGCAAATGCCCATAATCTCAGCAACTCAGATGGCTGAAGCAGGATCCTAAGTTCTAGACCAGCCTCAGCAACTTCGTAGTCTCTAAAAATTTTTTTAAAAGGCTAGGGATGTAAGTCATTGGCAGAGCAACCCTGGGTTCAATCCCTGATATTATAAAACAACAACAAAACATGACTTTCTATTTTTCTTCCACAGTATTCAGTGTAGTGCTTTCCATTCTTAAGATACTTACATGCAAAATACAGTGATTTAATAGTCTTAAAAATATGAACTTTAATTAACAATTTGTGCAAATATAAGTCAATCATGTTTAAAAAATTTTACCAAACTCAACTAAACCTAAATATTACACTTAAATTTTACACTTTTTTGGGGGGGCACCTTCACTTATGCTCTTGTTTACATTGTCTGTCTCTGAGGCAGTGGGGCAAATGTTAATATCCATTTTCAAGGAGGTTAAATGATATGCCAAAGTTAGCTCTGGTAAGCCATATCATCTGAATTATAACGTAGGATATTCTTAAGGTATTATAAACTACACATTTGGAAAACTTCTAGAGAAACTATCTAAAAACCTTCCTCAGGTTTCATTGAGACCAATTTTGTGATATATATATACACACACACACACACACACACACATATATATATATATATATATATACACACACACACACACTGAAAATGGAATGGTTGGGAAAGATATGTTAGCTTTTGCCTCATTGAAATCTTATCTGGCCAGCCAAAAGGAAATCAAAGTGTTCTTTAAACAGAGGCACCAGGGAAGCCCTCTCCCTCAGGATGAAATAGGGAGAGAAGGAGCAGGGTGGTACTTGAGAGGCATGCAATAACAGAAGATCACCCTCACACTATAGGATGGGAGGTGTGAGTTAAGAAAAGCCAAAAAGCAGCAGCTATAGAACACAGGGTGTTCAGGAAAGATGAAACTTCAAGGGGATGAATGGCTGACAAGACCACAGCTAAGCAGCCAACACCTAAGTCCTCTGAGCTGGGAATTTCTACCCCAAATTTTCCAAAATTAACTCCTTCTCTAAAGCAGTAGCCCTCAGGAGGGGATCATTTTGCAAACAGGGGACATTTTATTTATTTATTTATTTTTAATGTATAGATTTTAAAATGCTTTTATTAGTAGATTAGGGGTATAGCTCAGTGGTAGAGTACTTGCCTACCATATCCTAGGCCCAGAGTTCAATTCCCAGCATTGCAAAAGAAAAATGTTAATTTAAATAAGATTGTTGAATTGAACTGCAAAGAGTCCTGGCTATCCTTTGGATGTCTTAAAAGTATGACAAATTCCCTTTGCTTTTTCTTATTATATTAGCAGTAGCCTTGCCTAAGACAACAAACTCAATAAATGTCTTTTCTAGGACTTCCTGTCCCTATGAACTACAGTGAGTAACAGGCTTAAGAAGATGGCCTAGAATGAAAAAAACACAACTTCTTTCTTTCTTTTTTTTTGCTTTACCATTGAGCTATATCTTCAGCCCTTTTAATTTTTTGAGACAGGATCAAACTTATCAACCTCAAACTTGTCATCCCCTGCCTCAGCCTGCCCAATCACTGGGTTCACAGGTGTATACCACCTCAGTAAGCAAAACTGTCATTTTAGGCATTTATTCTGAGTTCTACCTCTTATGGATTGAGATAAATTATTTCAAGTCTCAGGACCTTATTTTCCACAGTTCAATAACAAATAACTTTCTTAGCCTGGCATGGAGGTGCTTGCCTAGAGTCCCAGCATATGGGGAGGCTAAAGCAGGGGAATCACTGGAGTTCAAAAGTTTGATAACAGCCTAGGCAACATATAGAGATCCTGTCTCAAAAGTGGAATAAATAACTCCCCCGCTGGGGATTGAACTCAGGGCCTTATGCATGCAAGGCAACTACCACTCAGTTATACCCCCCAGACTCTAATACTTTCTTTGGCAGGGGTAGAGTGGGGTGGTGGATATGTACTGACTGGGAATTGAATGCTGGGGGGAGGGCAGGGGTGGCATTTTAGAACCCAGAACATCTAACTACAAAATCAATGTTCTTTCTTATAAATCTTAAGGCTACCACTGCTCAATTACACGAGTTACATCATAGTACTAAAGTGATAAGACCAAGGTCACAACTAAACCAGTTAACCTCAAATATGTATTATACTTTGGAATTCAACAGTCTTTGTCCATCCTATTAAAAATGTTGACAAGTATTTATGCTTATTGGGCACTCTGATCTCATTTGAGGTTGGCTGCTGTGATTGGGCTGATCTAGTCTGAGGAGCACATGAAGTGAATAATGGTGCAGATAATAGTGGAAAGATCCCATACAAATTTCTTTGACCAAATGCTGTCAACAACTTCATCTGTTGAGGATGTCTTCAGGACTATCTACATAGAAATCTTTCTAAGAACAAAGCTTACTACAGACAGATCAATGGCACATGAAGCGATTTCTCAATATCTTTAGTTTAAAATATTTTAAGGTCACGATTTTTAAAATCAACTCTGCAGCTATTTATGCCTGCATTGGAACGGATAATTTTCACAGCAACTTGATCAAAATCTAGAAATAGTTGTTCTTTAATTCAAGCGTTAATAAATAATCCTGGGCCTTCAGTGTTCTAATATACAGATACAGCCTTTTTGCTTAAAATGTTACATCTCTCGAATGGTTAGGAAAGCAACAGCACCAGAACGGGTATGAATCAGAATTAATCTTCCCTCCAGGCGTTCAAGCTTTCTGTCTCACCAAAAAAGGAAACTGAGCCAAGTGTTTATCAAGTAAACAAGCGGTCTTCCACTTTCTTCTCTCCCACAAAGGCTTAACTTAAAAGGAGAGAAATAGCAGAGGCTGGGAACTGAGTTCAGGGAACTGCGGCAGAATTGTTATAATGCCTACTTACAGAGCTCAAGCTCTATTTCACCACCGCGGACTAGCCCGACGCTTCCTGGTCAAAACTGCTCGGCAGAGGGAGAACTATGACCCCCCCACCCCTAACCCCACATTGAGCAGCTTCGTTCCCAAGGCCAAACCCCGCGCCCCCCATGACCTCCAATGGCTAGGAAAAAAGCCTTCAACCACCCGCTTTATCCACAGCGGATCCATACGACCTCCCAGGCTAGAGCAGGGATCAGAGTCTGGGGACAAATGGAGGAGCACGCTTGGCTACATGAGGAAAACCCCATCACCTGGAACTCGGCGAACTCCTCACAGTTCACACCGCCACTGGGCGCCGCCATATTGGACGAACGCGAGGACCCCGACACAGGCCAATCACGGTGAAGCAGAGGTGTCCGCGGCGCCGCCTGACGAAAAATAATTGGAGCAGAAAGCTGAGTTTAAGGCTAGTTTTCGTGATCCACGTCGAACTTTGTCACCCTGCTGCCCTACTTTTCCTTCTAACCGCCTCCCTTCAAAATGTTCCCCTTCTCAGAGCTTGAAAAGATTGTTTACTCCGATCTCGTTCTTACAAAAGAGAACAGTTATTCTGGCCACACCAATGAGGCCGTTCCTAGAGAATGTGGAGGAAAGTCAAATTTTCATCCTTCCCTTGTAGCGTCTACTTCTCCTAGAGCAAAAGAGCCCATGTTCATTAATAATTTGGGACCATTTAAAGGGGTCAAGAAACAAGGACTTTTCTGGTAGTGTGGGTGGGTAAGTGATGGAAATGATTAAAATATATTTTTTAATTGGTAAATAGAAAACAAAATGTTAGCACCATGTTGACTTTTCAGACTGGCCTCTGAAATTCCCCGAAAGCCAACAAGACGTGGGGCCTCTAGTAGGCACTGAGTCCAAACTGTGTTTTTGATAACAGCATATATTCATTGAAAACATCGGAAGAACGGCATATTGAAATGCTGATTTATTTAGTGTATTTCCGAAGCGTACAGTTCGCAAACGTTGTACATTTTTTCCTTTAACTTTTCTGTATTAATAAGGCAAACATCTCAGTTGACCCCACACTTCACAGGCACCGCCTCATACTCGGGGCACGACGCGGAGCCCTGGGGCGGGACGAGGTGAATCTCCTGCGTCTCCAGTGCGTCACGTCTCGCACGTCCCACATGCCTCGCGCGTCACGCACGCCCTGCTGGTTCCGCCCCTCGCCCCGCCCATCGGCCCGCGAGTCTGCTCCACCCGCGTCCCTCCCACGCCGGCGAGGGGTGACTTTGAGCGCACCAGCGCCACCGCTGCTGCGGTAGGTGTCGTGTGGTTGGCGGAGTAGGCGGCCATGGGGAGCCTCCGCGGCCTGCGCCTGGCAGCTGGTGAGACTCAGAATGGGCTGGGGAAGAGGGAATCCTGCGGCTCAGGCCGGGGAATTGCTGGGTTTCTTGATGCACGGTGGCTTGGAATTCCATCTTATTAGTGTCAGTAATGGGACAGAGCTAAGGTTGAGCAAGCTGCTGCTAAGCAGACGCTGGAGACTAACCCAGTACATTGGCACCTGGCCCTCTATTTATCCAGCTTCCACCAACATAAGGGGTTCTTGCTCCCTCCTTTCCCTTCTCTTCTGAGCACCTTAATGTATTTGGTATTCCTATAACTTGTTGCTTTCCACCTTAACCTTCCCTATCCGTTATTCTAATTGATCTTTCCTCTCCGCCTCTCTCCCCATCATCAGAAGAGTTTATTCTTGCTATCAGACCACCTGAGCCTGGAGTTTCCCACGGTTTAAGTGTCTGAATGGAAAAGGGGTTTAAGATCCCACAGAATAATAGTAAATGTTTTCTTTTTTTTAACATTTATTTTTTTAGTTGTAGGTGGACACAATACCTTTATTTTATTTTTTTTAAAGTGGTGCTGAGGATCAAACCCACCCCCCACCCCCCTTACATGCCAGGCAAGTGCTTTTCCTCTTAGCCACAACCCCAGGCCCAGTAAATGTTTTCTTAAAAGGGAGGCGCGGGGCTGGAGATACAGCTCAGTTGGTAGGGTGCTTGCCTCATGCACAAGGCCTTGGATTCAATTCCCAGCACCCCCCCCCCCCAAAAAAAAGGAGGAGTACATGACTTTTAAGCAGTCTCACAACTAAGTGCTTTGAATTTCTTGGATGAAAGTTTTATGTAAATGTAGAACTTGCAGTTCGTTTTCTCGGTAGACATTTGTGTGGTGGGTATTTTGAAGTTAGGAACTGAGAACTTAATTCCTCTTCTTGGGGAAACCAGCAGAGCCTTGGCATTACTGTAGGGCTGAGAAATCGGTGTTGGCATCTTCACTCCTGTAGGTGCCAGGACAGTTTTCTTGCTCACCTTTATGAACTTTGATGAGATATAATGAACGTTTGCTTTTGTTCCATGGTACAAGATTATTTAAAAGTTGTTCATTTTTGGGGGGGAGGGGTACCAGGGATTGAACTCAGGGACACTAGACCACTGAGCCACATCCCTAGGCCTTTTTGTATTTTATTAGAGACAGAGTCTCGCTGAGTTGCTCAGCGCCTCGCTAAATTGCAGAGGCTGGCTTTGAAATCGCAATCCTCCTGCTTCAGTCTCCAGAGCCGATGGTCACACCCACGACTAAAAGTTGTTCAATTTTTAAAGGAAGAATAACCCCAAAGTTGGCTAATGAAAGAATGCAAATATACATTGTTATGTAAATGAAACAGTGACCAAAAAAAAGAAAGAAAAGAAATTGTTCTGGGTTGAGAGGCCTTGTATCTCCAGCACATCCAACCAATACTGAATGTGTAAGTTTCCCAAGCTTAATATGTAGCCTGCATCTCCATGATGCTCTAGTATAATAATCAAAAAGGTAATGCTTTACATGGCTTATCTTGTGTTTCAATGAAGAATAGAATGGAAAATATGTTGCACCTGGAGATTATCACTTCCTATAATGCAAACACTCCCTTTGCTAAAAAAGAAAAGTCCAAATACTGGTATTGATTTCATTTGATTTTGTTAGTTTGATTTAATTCACCTAAAATCTTTTGTGTATATTCTATTAAATATTGTGAAGCTTTTTAGCAGGACAAGGGAAAGAATCAATGCTTTGTTAAAAATAAATAAATAAAGCAGCCTGTGTGAAAGTGTTTTTGATTAGTTGGAATTCAGATTGATTTTACTTCGTGTCTTGAGATTATTATACTAGAGCATCATGGAACTTCCAAAGCCTCTCTTCAGGCATATGATGCTTTAGAACTTTACTATTGGGAACTTAACTAAGACAGTTCCTTCAGCCATCAAAGAATTATTTATTTTACTTCAGATAGAAAAACTTGAATAACACCTAGGAGGGGTTATGTGAGCAGTTCTTTATAAATGGTCTGTGTATATATGATATTTTTGTGAGCATTATCATGAGATCTGCTTTATTTTGCCTATTTTATAGCTAAATGCTTAACATACATTATTTTATTTGGTTAATTTCGTGCAGCAGCCCTCTCTGGTAAGTCTTATTAGCCCCTCACCTTTTTGTAAATGAAACAGTTCAGAGGGTTAAGTGACTTGTCCATGATCACTTTGCAAAAAAAAAACTACAGTGCTGAAGGCAGTGCCCTCTCTTCTGAAATTTGTGCTCTTTGCCATGGCCAATTGGGTCTCATTAATGTGAAATGGAAGAGTCATATAATGCAGATTTATTTGTGAAATGGAAATACACATTCATGTGCAAATGGCTCTTCAAGAAAGAAGATTGATGATAAGCAACCATAACCAAAGGAGTAGCAGATCAAATAGAAACATAATTGAAGCACACTTGACTTATCCACAATACTATCTGGAATAAGCTACTCTTGTCTATGACCATAGTACCCTGAACACCAGATTTTGTCAGGAATAAGGTCCTCTAGGTGAATAAAATTTCAAATAACTAAAACAATCATTGAAACCACGGACCTTTACATTAATTATTTCCATTAGAAATTTTTGCTGGTCTCCTTTAGCAAACAATACAGACTTTTATGAGTTTGAATTTGTTAATTGTTTTGTATATGTAGAGATAGGTCAGGTTAACTTGCCGTACTCTGGACACCTATGAAGATGAGAGGTCTTGTGAACATCTGAAATTTTATTCAAGTTTTATGATTATATGCCTGTTTTTGAGAAAAAGGGTCCAAAGCTTGCATTGATTACTCATGAAAACTATGAGTGTGAATGAATAGGAATTAAATGGCACCTGACCCACACTGCTGTGGATTCCTTGAGGTTAACTGGGTCTATTCTGTTCTTCCTAAATCCTCAGGTCATATTAGTGAAAAATTCATAGTACTGGCCATACATAATATTTTGATGAGAAACACTAGGAAATATCTTGGAATAAGTAGATATAAAGTGAGTTTCATACTTCTTTTCCCTTGAGAGTAGAATGAAGTAGATGCAGCTTTAAGGATATTATCTCTTCTGTAGGGTGATTATTAGATCAGAATATTGGAATGGCCTTACCAGAATGTTCCTTCACACATTCAGAAAATTTTGTTACCTCAAACTCCACTGACTTGTCAGACTTTAAAATGAATTTATTACGATCATTTTTACTCCCAATGCAGTGGATTGTGGGTTGTGTTCTTGTGAGTTGAACCCACGTCTCAGAGCATTTACAGTCAAAAGATATCTTATGTAGTCCAGTTCCCTAATTTTTACACATTTGGTAATTAAAGACCCAAGAAAGGAATTCACTTGCTAAGAGTCACACACAGGCACAAAGCTGTGACATAACCAGTGTTTCCTAGCTCCCATTCTGATTTTATTTCCACCGTATTCTGCTCCTTCATTGCTTTTTTTGTTTGTTCTTGCTAACCAACCCTAAATGAGAATATGCCTATTGTAGCCACTCCCATGTTTGGCTTTGCTTATCACATCCCTCAGGTCTTACCAATAGGTTTTTATTGAGCACACACTGTGTGCCCTGTTATATTGTGAAAGTACTTGACATGAATAGACTGCTCCTTTTCCTAGGGCTAGCTTATTGCCATGAGCAAACCAATCTACACAATGCACACAGACAACCTATACAAAATAATATATACTAACTTCTGGAAAGTGCTGCTGTGGTGTCTTGGGGCCAGTTCCTGCCAATGTTGTGCATATCTTTTCCCATTTTTTAATTTTAGAATTGAAGTGTTACATTGGTAGCTTGAAATCTGCTATGGTGAAGGTTACTGGCAACATTATAGAACAGGATTTCTCACCAGCCTTTCCCAAGAGCCAGTATACAACTGGCTTCAGGAATACAGAGAAAAGAAAAGATTTGTAAGGGTAGGTTTGTAAATTGAAGGCTTCCTTCATTTGACATTTGTCATTGGAGGAGGTGGGAGTAACATGAGCAAAGATAGAGGCAATAATGAATCTGGACAGGTTCTTAGGAAGAAAGTAAGGAGAAAGAATTACCTTGGATTTTGATCAGGAGGTAATAGGTCTTTATGAGGAGTTTGAATTTGTTTGATTTGAATAAAAAAAAAGTCTTCAAGCTGAAGTCATCAAAGAAACATCTTTGGAAAATTATCAAGACACCTGCATACAAGATAAATTGTTGTGACCTGGAACAGTATAACTGTAATCCATGTATGAAGTGATGGTGGAAATGCTAAAAAGGGATTGTATGTAGAAAACGTCTTGAAGAAACAAAAGTTTGGAGGCTTTGAATAATGTAAGGTAGAACTTAAAAGACAAGCATTTGAGTATAGAAGTGTTACCCCACTGTCAGAAATAAGGAAGTTGGGGAAGTAATCAAGAATAACTTAAAAGATTTATGTTTATTTGGCAGAGAAGATGTGTTGTTTTGGTGTAGGTGGCTTTGAATTGTAGGTGATGATGGGATCCCTTTGTCAAAGACCGGAGGAGATAGGACAGAAAAATATGGGAACCATTGGTGTAGAGCTGATTATTAAAATAGAATGGAAGAGAGGCTGGGCCTGGGGCTGGGGCTCAGTAGTAGAGTGCTCGCCTAGCACATGTGAGGTGCTGGGTTCAATCCTCAGCACCACATAAAAATAAATAAATAAAATAAAGATATTGTGTCCAACTACATCTACAACTAAAAAAAATATTTAAAATACAAATAGAATGGAGGAGTCCCTCTACAGTAGCACGCAATCGTGGTAAGGACTGAATCTTGGAGACCTGTCATAGTTTAATAGAAAGTGACAAAGAAATCATTAAAGAAGATAGACCATAGAAATAGGATATGAAGTAAAAGAAGGTGATGTGTAACATAAGAAAGGGTTGAATCCTCATAGAAGAATGAGATCAGTACAGTCAAATGGCCATGAAGATGGGAAGAGTATAGTAAAATGGGCTCCCTGTGAGTCTAAAACACATAGTCATGT